CCGGGCCTTCATTTTTTTTCAGCACTCATGAGGTATGGGATGTCTTTATTTTATCAAACCCTAGTCATGTTTGAATTCCTGATTGTTCCTTTTTTATCCTTTCCATGCTATTATTGAGTAACATCTTTGTTGCAAATACATTTTGGTTGTTAAGGGTTGATGGATGAGGCCTAGAGTGGATATTTAGAGGGAGAAGAGAAACGAAAGAGTGTTATGGCATTTAAAACAGTACTTTCAATTTACACGTGCCCCTTTAACAAAGCTCGAAGGCCCGGGCATGCCCCGAGTTCGTGATTCATACACAGAGAGATAGAAGAAGGTTGCCCCCTAGAAAGTCATGGATGATTTGATAATTTTAAAAAACCGTTCCACTTGCTTGGATGTCGGTGTTTCGAACTATGAGTGAAATCTTTATGAATTCTTGCTTTCGAAGGGAATACTCGAGCCACCTTTCGATTTCAACTCAGATAGACATTTTTATATATCCCTAACTTTTGCATAGGATGTATTCTATTGGGATTTTGATTCTTTTTTATTTTTATTTTTATTATTTTTTTTGCCCTAATTTTTTCCTAGGACGCCCTTTATAGGTTTTCATCCTAGCGGGTCCTCATCATGCAATGCCTTCATCCTTCAATTGGGTTTTGTTTTATAATTCCCTAGAAGCAAGGATTTGTCCATTCTTGATCATTCTTCCTATCCTGACAATTGTCGTTTTCACATGGAACTCTCGGAGTTTGAATCGTCAATTTGGGCGTGTTATGCCCCCCAGTCTTGATTTTTCAAAAATTCTAGACAATAATAAGGCATAAGGAATTGGTCCATCCTCTTTCCTTCTAGCCTTCCGCCAAGAATTTGTTGTAGTTGGTGTTCTCAGGATTTCTCTGACAGACTCTGAAGGTTTTCAGCTCCTCAAAATCACCAAAGTTGAAGGGTTGGGGTTTGGTAGTCCCATGCCACTCATCCTGGCAGCACCCTTCAAGGTTGGCCCGTCAAGCTTTATCAGCTTACCTTTCACTACTGATTGCATTATGCCTTCATTGCTTGTTGCAAAGCAAAGAAACATCCTTATCAGCTTAGGGTAGTAGGGTCCTTCAAGTTCCAAAAACTTCCCATGTTCTTGGTGCTCCAGCAGAGTAGGAAAGCTGAACCCTTCATTCTTGAACCAATCTAGCTTTAGGATCTTGGGAGGGATGATTCTCCGACCCGCATTCCATTCAAAGTAATATTCCTGGGTTTTCTCATCGGCAAACCATTTGGAGATGAGTTGCTCTAAGGGTAGAGGGCGCTTGCTCCCCCTCACTTCTAGCTTCTTTGGTCTTTTGGAGAAGAAGCCATGGGTTGGGTTTTGGTAGAGGTGAAGAAAATGAGAAAGATAAAGAGGTTAGGGTTTGAGAGTTGAGAGAATGTGAGGATTTGGAAAAAAATGAGAGGGTTGGAGGTTCTTAATGCCCTAGCACGTTTCTGAGTGGGGAGAGGTTACTCAACTGAATAATAATGGGAAGTTAAGGGTTTGGCACGAATAAAACCGTTCAAAATGCTTCTGGAAAACTAAAAGTCGCGCAAATAATCGATTATCCATACAAATAATCAATTATTTGTATCAGTAAAAACCTTTAAAAACCCTTTCTACACTAAATAATCGATTATTTTGGGAATAATCGATTATTCTAGACGGTTATTTTTCTCAACTTTGCTCAGATAATCGATTATTTCCAAGATAATCGATTATTCCAGAGGCTTTTCATATTCTGCTTCCCAGATAATCGATTATTGCCCCAAATAATCGATTACTACAAAGGCTCTTGGAATTCTTCATCTCCCAGATAATCGATTATTATTATGGGCTCACTTGAAATAATTGATTAAATTTTAAAATAATCGATTATTCCAGAGAAGTTTTGCTTCTCTTAAAACTAGCTTCTCAAACCATTCCAAATCTAATTCAACTCTTAAACACACTCTTTTATGTTTTAATATCAATGTTTCACACAGTTATTAGCCAATCAATCACAAAATCAATCTCAAATTACAATCAATTGACACAAGTTTCATTGACTATTCCTAGTTCAATTCTTAATTGATTAAATCTTTCCCTTGGTAGAGGTTTTGTAAATATGTAAGCTAATTGCTTACTAGTTTCAACAAACTCTACAACACAATCATATCTTTGAACATGATCTCTCAAAAAGTGGTGCCTTATTTCTATGTGTTTTTTGTTGTGTGCTTGTGTGCAAGATTTCAGGCAAATCCAAAAGAATCTCACATGAAATGTGTAACGAGAATTTTTAAATATCTGAAAGGTACAACTAATGTAGATTTGTGGTATCCAAAAGGAGTCTCACTAAGTCTGATAGGCTACTCAGATTCAGACTATGCTGGGTGTAGACTTGATAGAAAAAGCACAAGTGGTACTTGTCCCCTACTAGGTAGTGCACTTGTTTCATGGCATAGCAAAAAACAAGCTTGTGTTGCTTTAAGTACAACTGAGGCTGAATATATAGCTACAGCTCCTCAAAATCACCAAAGTTGAAGGGTTGGGGTTTGGTAGTCCCATGCCACTCATCCTGGCAGCACCCTTCAAGGTTGGCCCGTCAAGCTTTATCAGCTTACCTTTCACTTTTATTTTAAACAATTTTTATCAAAGATAAGAAATAAAAGAAAGATAAGAAAATTAACTGAAATACCTCTTGAACGAGCTCTATTAATCTTCAATTATGGAGATTTAGGTGCTTTGTGGCAACCTTTCACACTACAATAAGCCTCACAAAACTCAAGAAATACAATAGGAGAGAGAGAGAGAAATTTCGAGCTATAAGGAGCTTTTGACGAAATTTCGGAGCCCTAAGAAATGAGCCCAAGCTATCTATTTATAGACTTCAGAAAGGGTCCAGAACGGCCCGTTCCAAAATCAGAACGGCCCGTTCTGGATCTGGCCGTTATGTGTTAATTTCGTGACTAGAACGGCCCGTTCTAGAAGTGAGATTAACACATATATGCCTAGACTGGAATGGTCGTTCCAAAAAAGGATTTTTAGCCATTTTTCATAACTTGGAACGGCCCGTTCCGGTTAAGGTTTAAAACCATTTTTTAGGATATTGGCCGTTCCAATCTTGGAACGGCCCGTTCCAGCATACAAGTTTTAGGCATTCTAGGCGCCTCAGAACGGCCCGTTCTGGACCTTGGAACGGCCCATTCCGGGCCATTAAAAATACTTAATTTGGGCTTTTGGGCCTTCTAAAGTCCTGTCTTGTTGTTGGCATGCTTCGGGCTTGTTTGTATGCTCCCCAGACAAAATTGGGTGTCTACACACCCTTCCATACCAAACTTTTTCAATAGTTCATTGCAATACTTGCTTTGACTTATGAAGATTCCTTCATTCATTTGTTTGATTTGCAACCGCAAGAAGAATGTAAGCTCCCCCATCATTGACATTTCAAATTCCCCTTGCATGGTCTTAGCAAATTCTTTGCATAGAGAGACATTAGTAGATCCAAATACAATATCATCCACATAGATTTGAACATACATTGTATCATTTTTAAATTTCTTTACACACAATGTATTATCTACTTTCCCTCTTATATAGTCATTCTCAATCAAAAATTTGCTCAACCTATCATACCATGATCTTGGAGCTTGCTTCAAGCCATAGAGTGCCTTTTTAAGTTTGTACACATGGTTAGGATACTTAAAATCAACAAAACCTCGTGGTTGCTCCACATACACTTCTTGTATCAACCCATTGAGAAAAACACTCTTGACATCCATTTGATAAAGCTTGAAATTCATTATAGAAGAATAAGAAAGAAGTAATCTAATGGCTTCTATCCTTGCTACAGGGGCAAAAGTATCATCATAATCAATTCCCTCTTTTTGATTATACCCCTTAGCCACTAGGCTTGCCTTATTTCTTATAATAATTCCTGATTCCTCAAGCTTATTTCTAAAAACCCACTTGGTTCCTATAATTGGATAATCAGTTGGTAATGGCACTAAATCCCATACTTCATTTCTTTCAAACTGATTTAGTTTCTCTTGCATGGCCATTAACCAATGTTCATCTTTTAGTGCATCATCAATACTCTTAGGTTCAACTTGTGACACAAAAGCCATAGTATTGCAAATATTCTTAATGGCACATCTAGTTGACACTCCCTTACCAATATTTCACTACTACAAAATGCATATTTTACATCGGTTCTTTAAAGTCATCTACATCGGTTCTAAAACCGATGTAGAATAGAGCGACGTAGAAAATGAGCATATTTTTACATCGGTTCTGAAAAAATCATGCTTATTTTTGGATTATTTCTGATTACCTGTAATTAAATACAAATGTATGCACTAGACTAGAGCCTATGTTAATGTTTATAAGCAAAAGTATTTGATCATGAAGAGAAGCCACAGCCAAGTTACCTACATATGATGCCAAAGTTCATATCAAAATTAGACTAGATATGACTTATATTAAATTATATAAAGCTACCATGCAAACTAATTCTTGCCAGTTATGGTTTGTATCAAATACCAAATGGAAGTTACAGAAAAGTATAGGAAATAAACTTTTTGCAATAGACAATGATAAGGTAGTATTTTAATTAAGGAATTGAAGCAATAAATTTGGAAGTAATGGCAGCGCAATTGTGTCAATTAAAATAGCAGCGCAATTCTAAGGCCAGTTTGGATAAACACCACGGTAGGAAATTATAGAAAAAGAAAATAAAGTAAACTAAGGAGACAAAATTCATCAAACTTCTTGCAGAAGTTAAAATCAACCTATACACGTAAATTTTTTTTAAGAGTTCCTTTGTCTAACTTGACTTAAAATCATGAACCATTAAAAAGCTCTCCCAAGTTAGACACGAACCTAAACTTTACCGAGCAGAACTGCACTGCACCATTAACTTTATCCCCAAAGTCCATGTTCCATAACGCAAACAAGTCTTGTTGAATAACAACATCATCATCCAAAACCACATCTTTCTTCAAAATGCTGAATAAATCAGGAAGTAAATAGTGTGAATCAGAAAAAATTGAAAGGTATTCTATTCTAATTTGGTTCATGGATGGATTATCATAACCACAAAATGATACATTCAGCACTTGAACAAAAGCTTCCTTATAATGGTTCCTCAAGAACCAGAGCTTCATTGCATAATAATTTTCTCCATCAGTCAACACATGAAAAACCTGATTTGAACTTTCCTGAAAAATTTCACAACAAGAAGTAAAATTATTATTACATCAGCTAAAATTAAACTTGTATCAAATCAGTAGTGCATGACTAGATGCATAGCATACCTTTGCATGAAATACAATGGAGTTGATAACCACTGAAGTTGCAAGCACATTATTAGAGAAAATAACATAATGGTGTAATGATGAATCAATAAACTTTTCCTCATTAGTCTTCTCTTCATAATTAGGGGATTTGAAATATTCTACAGTTAGTTTCAGTGACAGGTAGTGAAGACTCTTTGGCATTGTCTGAACATTAAGTATATAAACTACGCAGATATATATATACAGAAGTGAACATGTAACCAAAAGATGAGTTTATACACTAATACTAGTGCATCTAAGAATGGAAATTTTGAAGCAAATTTCAAAACGTACTAATTTAAATTTAACAAATGATTCATGTTTACTAATTTTTGAAAAGAAAAACAGTATTGATCAATTCAAAAAAATGAATCAATAATAGTATTACTCAGTTTAAGAATTAAAAAAAAAAAATCAGCATTGAACATTAAATTTACCAGAATGAGCATGTGCATACTAAGCATGCAAAATTCATATGAAAAACTAAAGGACATTGTCACTGAAAACAATGAATGCACAAAAAAATTATTTGATTTTAATGGTTTAGTTTCAGATATATTGTAAAATAGGTGAGATTTGTTATACAATTAAATTTGATTTTAACTAAATATATTATTTTTCTTTTCCAGACTTGTTTTATTTTGCTCGTTAAAGATATAATACAAGGGCAAACATTAGCACCATAGCTGTCAATCCCAAATAGTTGCATAGTAACCGACCCTCAACATGCTATACTGAAATAATGAGAATATGATGCGGGTGCTATTCTAACCAATATTAGAATAAAAAATTAAGGCTAAAACTTAGAAGCGAACACGGTGAGATGAAATGAACGACCTGTTTTAGAGAGATTAGAAAATAGAACAATGCAGGGAGAAAATAGAGTAAGGCGGTAAAAGTTATGCAAGGCCGGACAGAGTGACAGTTGCAGAGGAAATTTGACATTTTCTGTTCAGCAATGTTCCTTTATATAAAACAGGAGTCTATTCAAATCCAGGCGAAAGATGAAGCAATATCAAAAGTGTTTTGCTACAATCTTACCATCCATATCACAGAAGATATAGCTAAACTTTGGTTTGTAAAATCGAAGACTGCCTTCTTTCTTCCTGTCTTTTGAAAATTCATCTATAAGATTATTGCCCCATACATTTTATGCAAATGATAGTTACTTGAATTAGAGGGAAATATATAAAACCAATAAATTAAAATTATGCAAGTTGAGGATTGCTGAGGCATACTAGTAAAAAATACAATTGCCATCTGAACTGTCTTGGTGAAAATTTGAGTTTGTTTCAACATCACATGCACTCTTTATTAGCCCTTTTCCCTTCCAATCAAGACTTCTTAAAAGGATTTCCTCCTCTCTTTCCATTTCTACTTCAGCCTTTTCGCTTATTTCATGATCAAATCCCAAAAGATGTAACAAACCATGAACCTGCAAATAGATAAAGTAATTGATGTTCTCAAGTTCATCCTTTCAGTTCAAACAACGTAGACATAGTATTATAAGATAAAATTCCAACATGCTCAGTGTAGTATCTATTTTAAACACACCACGCCAAGAAATAAATGAAACTCCAGCTCACTTTCCACTTATGCTGGCAGCAGAAGACAGGTACCATAAGCTAAAATAATAAACTTCAGTAACAAACAGAAAATAGTCAGAATATCATGAAACCAACCATGAGGATTCAGATCTCATCAAGAAGAGTGTGCCCTCTTTCCTCTGCTTGTCTTACTGCTATCTCAACAGAAATTACAATATCACCCAACATAAGCTGTAAACAATGGAATTCATCACACAGATTAGCATTCCAACATGTAAGTTCTAAACTTTATTGTCTACAACACCCTGCACAACTTATAAATTCCTTTCCAATTTCCCAAAAGTTGACCCAACACCTACTATCTGAACAACCATATTTAGTCCATTTTGAAAACTAAAAATAGTTTTTGAAAACAGAAATCAAACACACTCCAAGTAACCCAACGGGTTGGCATGACCTTTTCAGTAGGAATTTTGATTTCAATTCTTGCCAGGAGTGAAAACCCTTTTTGTTGGCGACAATCACAGTACCACAAGAAAAATTAATTTTGCCTAGTGGGCTGGAAATATCCGTAGCAGAAAAAAAAAATAAAACACTAAGATTTTCAATGTATTAAACTCAAATACCAGAATGGGGTTCTTAAACCATCGCAACAACCTCTTCATCTTGATTTTCACACTCATGCACATCAGGCTGTTTCTCTTTCAAAATTTGCTCGTCTAGCACCGAAGCAAGATTCGCACCTGCAACTAAACCAGCACATATACATATTAAGCATAGCATGAACATTTTAACCCTCACACGGTCCCCTTTTCTATCCAATTTGAGAAAGCACGTTGCACGTGCACAATCACAAGCATTCCCACTTCCAGCAGTGAACAAGTCCACAAACCCTAGAACAATTTGGAGAAAAAGAAGAGAGGGTACCGGTGTCCCTTTTGATATCCTCGCGGCGGCGCTTACGGTGGCGAGCCCAGTCGGCAATAGTGGAAAAAATAAATTACTAGCTTTCGAAGTTTCTGATGAACACAGTTTTGAGGATCCGGCAAGGCTTCCAATAGTGTATTCAAAGAATACAATGCGTTCAATTCTACAAAAACAAACCCAGAAAAAGAAAAGAAAAATTCATTAGAAAAGGGCTTCAATGCATTCATAAAGAAAATGGAAAACCCTAGTTCTTGAGGACCTACAGTAGTTGCACTAGTAAACAATGAAAAAGGCATCACCTTAGTACACGAGAGTAGACGATTAGTTGAGGAACACGCGAAGAATTTTTCGCCAATTAAAAAGCTTCCTACGCATGGACTTGGAGAAGCGCGCACTGATGAGAACGCAAGAGATCGTTCTTGTGTTTGGAAATGTCTTCCAATTCTACATCGGTCACGAATAAAAACGTTGTAAAATAATAATGCCCTTCTAATTCTACATCGAGCACCAACACAAACGATGTAGAAAATTCTTAGGATTTAAATTCTACATCGGTCACCACCAGAACCGATGTAAAAATACTTCATATTTACATCGTTCGTTCCCAGAATCGATGTAAATATACTTCCATCTTCTATTTAATTACAAAAATGCCACCGCACTTTTATTTTACATCAGTTTTCTTAAAATCGATGTAGATATAACGATGTTAAATTGTGCTTTTGTAGTAGTGTTTCCAATTATATTATCCATTGATAAGTCCTTAGAATTTTTCCATTCCTTAGGAAATTGTTCACTTGTATCCTTAGTGTTTTCATTTGGTTCACTCTCTTTAGGCTTGTCATTAGCTTCACTCTCCAATAGAGGTTGATCAAGCAAATCAGTCAAGTCTTCTATTTCAGTTTGCTTTGTCTCTTGTTTGTTAGTCTCATCAAACACAACATGAACTGATTCTTCAACAACTAGAGTTCTCTTGTTATAGATTCTACAGGCTTTACTATTTGTAGAGTATCCTAAAAAGATTGCCTCATCAGTCTTTGCATCAAATTTTCCAAGTTGCTATTTCCCATTGTTCAGCACAAAGCACTTACACCCAAACACTCTAAAGTATGAAATGTTAGGCTTCCTTCCATTGTAAATTTCATAGGGTGTTTTCTTTTGTATGGGTCGGATCATAACTTTGTTTAATACATGACAAGCTGTGTTAATAGCATCAGCCCAAAAATATTTTGGCAATTTTGTCTCATTCAACATAGTCCTAGCTAGTTCCTAAAGAGACCTATTTTTCCTCTCAACAACCCCATTTTGTTGAGGTGTCCTAGGTGCTGAAAATTATGGTTTATACCATGCTCCTCACAGAAAATGTTTTGGAATTCACCTCCATGGTCACTTCTTATAGAGGTAATGTTTGAATTCTTTTCATTTTGAACAAGCTTGGCAAATTTCCTAAAGGCATTAAAAGCATCATTTTTATTTGCAAGAAACATAACCCATGTGAATCTTGTGTAGTCATCTACAATAACTAACCCATAGTAGTTCCCACCTAGACTCATGGTTCTTGAAGGACCAAACAAATCCATGTGAATTAATTGCAAAGGTCTTGTAGTGGAAATCTGATTTTTGCTTTTAAAGCTAGCCTTCACTTGCTTGCCCTTTTGACAAGCATCACATAGTTTGTCCTTGCTAAACTTGAGTTTAGGTAATCCTATCACTAATTCCTTTCTACTCAGTTTATTTAAGTGATCCATGTGAATATGTGCAGCTCTCCTATGCCACATCCAAATATTATCTTCTTTAGTTATTAAGCACTTGGTATTAGAAATTGCTATTGAGTGTTCTAAGTCAAGCATGTATATGTTGTCAATTCTTTTTCTAATGAATCTGATTTCTTTTGTATTTTTATCACATATCAAGCAACAGGTGTTATCAAATTCAATTTTAAAGCCTTTATCACTAAGTTGACTTATGCTCAACAAATTATGTTTCAGTCCTTCAACAAGCAATACATTTTCAATCAATGTTTGGGAGGAGGAGTTACCAATATTACCATGACCAAGAATTCTCCCTTTGTTCTTGTCACCATAAGTAACATACCCTTCATTCTTCAATTTTAGACTTAAGAATTTTGAAGGATCTCCAGTCATATGCCTTGAGCAGCCACTATCAAGATACCATAGTAAGCTCTTGGCCCTCAAGCATTCTATTGTGTCTTGGTAAGCTCCAGCCATCAAACACAAATTGTTCTCTTCAAATTCATATTCATCACTTGTTGTGCTTGAGTCATTGTCTTCCCAAGCAATGTAGGCCGTCTTCCATTTTCCATTTTTCTTCATTTTCTTTTCCTCTTGTTGCTTCTTCAAGAGGTTTGGACATTCAGCTTTTATATGTCCTGGTTTCCCACACTTAAAGCAATTGTAGGAGGATGTACTTGCTTCCTCTTTCTTGTTAGCCTTTTTATTGAACTTGTAGGGGGAATTCCTCTTTTTCCTTAGGAATTTTCTGAACTTCTTCACCAACAAGTTGAAGTTCTCAGTTTCGAAATCTTCGGAGCTTGATTCTTCACACACCTCTTTGCCTTTGGCTGATTTCAAGGCCTTTAGTGACACTCCCTTGCCCTTCTTGTCCTGCTGTTCATTTTCCTCAAATATATGCAGCTTTTGTTCATGCTCTCTTAGCTTCCCAAAGAGAGTAGCAAGGGGCAATGAAGTCAAGTCCTTTGATTCTTCTATGGCAGTCACCTTTGCTTGCCATTATCTGTCCAAGCATTGTAGCACTTTCAAGTTTAACTCTTCTTTTTCAAATTTCCTTCCAAGATCAACAAGGTGATTTATCAAGTGTGTAAATCTCTTTTCAAAGTCAGAAATAGATTCACCATTTTTCCTTCATGAGTGACTTGCAAAGTATCCCATATTTCTTTAGTAGATTTGCATTGTGATATTCTGAAAAACTTATCAATAGACAGTGTAGATGTAATGATGTTTTTGGCTCTATAGTCATATTGGGCTCTTTTTCTTTCATCATCACTCCACTCACTCCAATGTTTTTCTCTCTTCAAATCATCATCTTTGGTCATAGAGATATAGGGTCCATTTTCAATTGCATCCCACACAGCAATGTCAATTGCTTCAATGAAAATTCCCATCCTAATTTTCCAGTAGGCATAGTTCTCACCATTGAAAACAGGAGGTCTATGAATAGAGACACCCTCACCATAAGGTAGGTTGCTATTGGCCATTTTTGAAATCTTGAATAACTCTCAAGAACCTTGCTCTAGATACCAATTGTTAGAAAAGAATGGCCAATCCAAGAGGGGGGGTGAATTGGATTCTATGACACTTTAAAAAAAAAATTCAGAGTTTTAGGATCTTTATTTCAAATCAAACTTTTCTAATTATGAATTTTCAAAGAAGTTTCTTAAAGACTTGTTAATGAAGAATGAATCCTATATGCTTTCTTGATTAATTGTTAATGAGATTCAAAGTTACGTACAATCACTATGTAATACTTTGATTCAGTTAAGATCAATAATGCTCATGCAAACATGTTAATCAAGAATGATCTCCTTTACATACAACCAAGATATTACACAAAGTAAAAGATAAGAGTAAGACAAGATTGCACAAGTCTTTTATCCTGGTTCAGCCACTCCACATGTGACCTACATCCAGTCCTCAATCATAACCCGATCAAGATTTGTTCCACTATCTTAATGAAGAAGTTTTACAAGCATACCACACATGCATACACTCTTACATTCAAGATACCCACTTTCTTGACCTCAAGAAAGCACCCCTTGTAGAAACCCATTACAAGAATTCCTTACCACTTGAGAAACCTACTCAAGATTTTACAAATATTCACAAAGAATTAAGGAACGAATTCACCTGGAATTCAGAAGCAAATCTTAATCTGTCTCCTTTCAAGAATGTGATGATGATGATCATCTTTTCTCAAAGTATTTCAAAAACGTTTTTCTTCTTGGTTTCACGAAGAAAACTCTCCAAGGATGTCACAAAGACTTCACAAACACGTTTTTCTAATTTTGATTCTCAATTCTATCTTGTTCTGAAGTTTCAAAATGTTCAAACTATTTATAAGTTTTTCAGAACCCAGATAATCGATTATTTTAAAGAATAATCGATTATTTTGTTCTTCATGATTTCTGAAAATCAACCAAGAACAATTTAATCGATTATTTTGCTGGATAATCGATTATTCCATAGAGTCATTTTTGGGATAATCGATTATTCACAAATAATCGATTATTGCAACAAGGTATCCTTTTTTACCTGTTGCTGGAATAATTGATTATATTTAATGATAAACGATTATTTTGAGTTAGTTTTCAAAACTCTATTTTAAGTCCCAAAATAACTTCTTAACCTTTTAAACTCATCATCATACACTCCC